CTTTTTGTTCTGGCCCCCAGAAGTTGAATGGCCCCAAAAAAAGTTATTTGCCCTTGCTTGCCTCTTCCGAGTTTTTAAAAAAGATTTTCTATTAAAACATCAAGATTTCTTCTATAGCTGTTCAGTCGTTTTTTGACTCTGTTTGGGATCTTTCTTTTTTTTCTGTCCCCCAGAAATGGAATGGCCCCCAGAAAGTTTGTTTGCCCTTGCTTGCCCCCTCCCAGTTTTTTAAAAAAAATTTTTTTACACATCAAGATTTCTTCCATAGTTGTTCAATCGTTTTTGGACTTTGTTAGGGATCTTTTTTTTTTGTCTGGCTCCCAGAAAGTTTGTTTCCCTTGCTTTCCCCCTCCCAGTTTTTAATAAAAAATTTCTATAAAAACATCCAGATCTCTTTCATAGCTGTTCAATCGTTTTTTGACTTTCTAATGGATCATCCTTTTTTTCTGGGTCCCAGAAATGGTATGGCCCCCAGAAAGTTTGTTTGCCCTTGCTTGCCCCCTCTCAGTTTTTTAAAAAAAATCTATATTATAACATCAAGATTTCTTCGATAGCTGTTCAATCGTTTTTGACGTTGTTAGGGACCTTCCTTTTTTTCTGGCCCCCAGAAAGCTTCTTTTTAAACATCAAGATTTTTTCCATAGCTGTTCAATTGTTTTTTTACTTTGTTAGGGCTGTTTCCTTTTTTTCTGGCTCCCAGAAATGGAATGGCCCCCAGAAAACTTCTTTTCCCTAGCTTTCCCCCTCCCAGTTTTTTAGAAAAATTCTGTATTAAAACATTAGGATTTCTTCCATAGATGTTCAATCGTTTTTGACGTTGTTAGGGTTCTACCTTTTTTTTCTGGCCCCCAGAAAGCTTCTTTCCCTTGCTTGCCCCCTCCTAATTGTTAAAAAAATAATTCTTTTTAAACATTAAGATTTCTTCCATAACTGTTCAATTATTTTTTTACTTTGTTAGCGCTGTTTCATTTTTTCTGACCCCCAGAAATGAAATGGCTCCCAGAAAGCTTCTTTGCCCCTACTTGCCCCCTTCTAATTTTTAAAAAAAAATTCTATTAAAACATCAAGATTTCTTCCATAGCTGTTCAATCGTTTTTGACGTTGTTAGGGAAGTTCCTTTTTTTTCTGGCCCCCAGAAAGCTTCTTTCCCTTGCTTGCCCCCTCCTAGTTTTTAAAAAAAAAATTATTTTTAAACATCAAGATTTCCTCCATAGCTGTTCAATTGTTTTTTTACTTTGTTGGCGCTGTTTCTTTTTTTCTGGCCCCAGAAATGGAATGGCCCCCAGAAAGCATCTTTGCCCTTGCTTCCCCCTCCAGTTTCTTAAAAAAAATTTCTATTAAAACATCAAGATTTCTTCCATAGCTGTTCAATCGTTTTTGACGCTCTTAGGGACCTTCCTTTTTTTCTGGCCCCCAAAAATGGAATGGCCCCAAGAAAGCTTCTTTGCCCCTGCTTGCCCCCTTCTAATTTTTTTAAAAAAGTTTCTATTTAAACATCAAGATTTCATCTATAGCTGTTCAATTGTTTTTGGACTTTATTCGAGATCTTTATTTTTTTCAGGCCCCCAGAAATGGAATGGCCCTTAATAAAGCTTCTTTGCCCCTGCTTGCCCCCTTCTAAGTTTTTGAAAAAATTTTCTATTTAAACATCAAGATTTCTTCTATAGCTGTTCAATTGTTTTTGGACTTTGTTGGAGATCTTTCTTTTTTTTCTGTCCCCCAGAAATGGAATGGCCCTTTATAAAGTTTGTTTGCCCTTGCTTGCCTCCTTCCAGTTTTTTAAAAAAAATTGCTATTAAAACATCAAGTTTTCTTTCATAGCTGTTCAATCGTTTTTTGACTTTGATAGGGATCTTTCTTTTTTTTTCTGGCCCCCAGGAATGGGTTAGCCCCTAGAAAGAGTGTTTGCCCTTGCTTGCCCCCTCCCAGTTTTTCAAAGAATCTTTCCATCAAAACTTCAAGATTTCTTCCATAGCTGTTCAATCGTTTTTTGACTTTGTTGGGGATCTTTTTTTTCTGGCCCCCAGGAATGGAATAGTCCCCAGAAAGTTTCTTTGCCCTTGCTTGCCCCCTCATAGGTTTTTTAAAAAAAATTTCTATTAAAACTTCAAGATTTCTTTCATAGCTGTTCAATCGTTTTTTGACTTTTTTGGGATCTTTCTTTTTTTTCTGGCCCCAAGAAATGGAATGGCCCCCAGAAAGTTTCTATGGCTTTGCTTGCCCCCTCCCAGTTTTTAAAATAAATTCTATTTAAACTTCAAGATTTCTTCCATAGCTATTCAATCGTTTTTTGACTTTGTTTTGGATATTTCTTTTTGTTCTGGCCCCCAGAACTTGAATGGTCCCAAAAAAATTTATTTGCCCTTGCTTGCCTCTTCCGAGTTTTTAAAAAAATTTTCTATTCAAACATCAAGATTTCTTCTATAGCTGTTCAGTCGTTTTTTGACTTTGTTTGGGATCTTTCTTTTTTTTTCTGGACCCAGAAATGAAATAGCCCCTAGAAAGTTTGTTTGCCCTTCATTGCCCCCTCCCAGTTTTGAAAAAAATTTTGTATTTAACTTTCAAGATTTCTTCATGGCTCTTCAATCGTTTTTTGACTTTGTTAGGGATCTTTCTTTTTTTTCTGGCCCCCAGGAAGGGAATGGCCCCAAAAAAAGTTATTTGCCCTTGCTTGCCTCTTCCGAGTTTTTAAAAAAGATTTTCTATTAAAACATCAAGATTTCTTCTATAGCTGTTCAGTCGTTTTTTGACTCTGTTTGGGATCTTTCTTTTTTTTCTGTCCCCCAGAAATGGAATGGCCCCCAAAAAGTTTCTTTGCCCTTGCTTGCTCCCTCCCAGTTTTTTAAAAAAAATTTCTATTAAAACTTCAAGATTTCTTTCATAGCTGTTCAATTGTTTTTTGACTTTGAAAGAGCCCTTTCCTTTTTTTGCTGGCCCCCAGAAATGGAATGGCCCCCAGCAAGTTTCGTTGCCCTTAATTTCTCCCTCCCAGTTTCTTAAAAAAAAGTTCTATTAAACATCAAAATTTCTTCCATAGCTGTTCAATCGTTTTTTGACTCTGTTTGGGATCTCTCTTTTTTTCTGGCCCCCAGAAATGAAATGGCCCCCAGATAGTTTCATTGCCCTTGCTTGCCCCCTCCCAGTTTTTTAAAAAACAATTCTATTAAAACATCAAGATTTCTTCCATAGCTGTTCAATCGTTTTTTGATTTTGTTATGGATCTTTCTTTTTTCTCTGGCCCCCAGGAATGGAATGGCCCCCAAAAAGTTTCTTTGCCCTTGCTTGCTCCCTCCCCGTTTTTTTAAAAAAAATTTCTATTAAAACTTCAAAATTTCTTCAATAGCTGTTCAATCGTTTTTTAACTTTGTTAGGGATCTTCCTTTTTTTCTGGCCCGCAGGAATGGAATAATCCCCAGAAAGTTTCTTTGCCCTTTCTTGCCCCTTTCCCAGTTTTTTAAAAAAAATTTCTATTAAAACTTCAAGATTTCTTCGATAGCTCTTCAATCGTTTTTTAACTTTGTTAGGGATCTTTCTTTTTTTTGGCCTGCAGGAATGAAATAATCCCCAGAAAGTTTCTTTGCCCTTTCTTGCCGCCCTCCCAGTTTTTTAAAAAAAATTGCTATTAAAACTTCAAGATTTCTTCGATAGCTGTTCAATCGTTTTTTAACTTTTTTAGGAATCTTTCTTTTCTTCTGACCCCCAGGAATAGAATAGTCGCCAGAAAGTTTCTTTGCCCTTTCTTGCCCCCTCCCAGTTTTTTAAAAAAAATTTCTAGTAAAACTTCAAGATTTCTTTCATGGCTGTTCAACCGTTTTTTAACTTTTTAAGGGATATTTTTTTTTCTGGCCCCCAGAAATGGAATGGCCCCCAAAAATTTTCTTTCCCTTGCTTGCTCCCTCCCAGTTTTTAAAAAAAAATTCTATTAAAATTTCAAGATTTCTTCGATAGCTGTTCAATCGTTTTTTAACTTTGTTAGGGATCTTTCTCTTTTTCTGGCCCGCAGGAATGGAAAAATCCCCAGAAAGTTTCTTTGCCCTTTCTTGCCCCCCTCCCAGTTTTTTAAAAAAAATTCTATTAAAACTTCAAGATTTCTTTCATAGCCGTTCAACCGTTTTTTAACTTTTTTAGGGATCTTTCTTTTTTTTCTGTCCCCCAGAAATGAAATGGCCCCCAAAAAGTTTCTTTGCCCTTGCTTGCTCTCTCCCAGTTTTATAAAAAAAATTTCTATGAAAACTTCAAGATTTCTTCGATAGCTGTTCAATCGTTTTTTAACTTTGTTAGGGATCTTCCTTTTTTTCTGGCCCGCAGGAATGGAATAATCCCCAGAAAGTTTCTTTGCCCTTTCTTGCCCCTTTCCCAGTTTTTTAAAAAAAATTTCTATTAAAATTTCAAGATTTCTTCGATAGCTCTTCAATCGTTTTTTAACTTTGTTAGGGATCTTTCTTTTTTTCTGGCCTGCAGGAATGAAATAATCCCCAGAAAGTTTCTTTGCCCTTTCTTGCCGCCCTCCCAGTTTTTTAAAAAAAATTTCTATTAAAACTTCAAGATTTCTTCGATAGCTGTTCAATCGTTTTTTAACTTTGTTAGGAATCTTTCTTTTCTTCTGACCCCCAGGAATAGAATAGTCGCCAGAAAGTTTCTTTGCCCTTTCTTGCCCCCTCCCAGTTTTTTAAAAAAAATTT